CGGTTGTTAAGCTTGAACTGCCTACCTTGTGGTTCAAACGACCTTGCAATCCAGCACATTAACTTGCAGTGCCATACCAGGACTCTCTCAATCTCTCTCTGTCTCTCACTCTCTCTATATTTACATATATAAATATGTTTCACTGGTTTTGATAATAATTTCTTTGATAATAAATTTCTCTGATAGTGCAGTGGTTACGAATCGGTGGGATCAACGCACTGGACTGTAAGGTTTGTTTGAACAATAAAGTTTAAGAGGTGTAACTGACTCCATGGTACTTAACCATATATAAATATATATGTACTTGTTAAGTGAAATCAACTCGGTTTATATATATTGGCTAGTCTAACATGCCAGAAATAAAAACCCTTGTTCGTAGTCCTTCTGGCAGGAAGTACTAACAGCTGTTTCCCAAACATACACACTGAGCTGCTGTTGACAGCACTGATGGATCTTGACAATGATAATACTATTTATTTAAAAAAAAAATCTCTTTGTCAAGTCACTGTTATTTTTTTTCCTCTATGTTGCTGTTATTGTTGTTAAATGCCATCGAGTCAAGTCTGACCCGTAACAACCTTGTATAGGGTTTCCAAGGAGCAGATGATGAGCTTGAACCACCGACCTTGCAGTTCAAATGACTTTGCAGTCTGGCGAATTAGCCCACAGCACCACACTAGCATTTAATTCGGAATTTAAACCCTGAAATATGGATGTAAAAGCATCTACTGCAATGCTTCACAGGGTATGTAGTCAATGAGTATTAGCTTCTCTTGACATTTTAGAATCTGCAGTAAACATAAAAATTAGAGGAAAACAAACCAAAAAACCTTTATATTTTAATGCTGAAATTAAAACATCTTTTGAAAAAAAAAAAACCTTCCAATTCATTGCTAATGATGTATCAAGTATTTAGAAAATACTAAAAAATAAAGCTGGGAAGTACCCATTTCATTCCTATTATTGCCTACAAAACACATATAAACTTGGGGGGATGTTATAAAAACACTTGCAATAAGTGCTCTTAGGTTGAACCACTAATAAATATTTTGAATTTTTATAACATTTAAACTTTCCAAAACTGTACTCTAAGTAAAGGATCCCTGGTGGCATGGCGGGTTAAGTGTTGGGCAGCTAACCAAAAGAGTGGATTTCAAACCCACCAGTTGTTTCACGGGAGAAAGATGAACCTGTTTGCTTCTGTGAAAATTTACAGTCTCTGAAACTCTAAGGTCACTGTAAGTCGGAATCAACTCCACACCAGTGGGTTTGGGTTTTTTTGTTTGTTTGTTTATTTCTTTCTTTCTTATTCTAAATTAATTGCCAAATAGAAAAAAAATTTCCTGTGAAGTCTTGGATTCATCAACTAATAATATGCCAAAAGTCAGCAGTCAAAATATACGATAATGATACAGTGAAAGCATGAATTTACATAACAGATCACTGACTCTCTTCTATTAAATAAAAGGCATCTGTTTAGGATGTTTAGGCTTTTGGAGACAAGGCAAAAGCTGCTCTGCTTCATTTGATAAAATATATTTATTTAGAACTTCAGTTTCAGATAAGAGTCAATACATACATGTAACCCATAGCAGCTTCCTTTTAAAATTACATTTAGTCAGCTGGGTAACATTCTTAAAGTGGTAAGGGTAAGGATCAAAACCACAGGAAACACTTCTGTGTATCCAAATTCTAACATTCCTACCTGGGAACTATATTGGGTTGACATGGTGTTTGGTTTTCACTATAATAATTAGTTTACTTTTAACTGCTCATTTTAATTAAACTTAGCAGTCAGACGAGCCTAAAACCTAGCTTTTTTGAGTAACAATGAAGTCTGAAGTTTTATAATGATAATAATTATACTAAAGCTAATACTCACAAGGGAGCACATACTACATGCCAAGCTACATGGCATTGAAATGTTCTAAGCAGTTACATTTACATATTTCACGCTCACAGCTTTATGAGATAGGTGTTACCTTCCATTTTCAGTGAGAAAATCAAAGTACAAAATGGTTAAAGTAACTTTCCAGTGGTCACATAAATAACAGGAAGAGGAATCAGGATTCAAATCTAGGCATCCAAATGCAAACACTGTTTGCAATAGTTCCTGTGAAGTGTATACAACCAAAAATAACAACAACAACAACAAAACAAAGATCATGTGTTTCTAGTCCTATACTTGTGACTCCAGCATTCCTTATATTTCTGATAGAAAAATCAGTCTATAACTAGCATTGCATTAATTCTTCTGCTCAGTACTTCTCTTTCCAATTCTGAATGGAATAATTTCATTTATTTTGTTAAAGAAATAATTTCAGAGTATTCTTAGGTGCTATGTTTAT